GGCACTCTACCCAGGGGGACAGCTTGAGGCTCTGTCTCAAAAAAAAAAAAAAAAAGACATAGCCAGGCATTTGGTGAGCACCTGTAGTCCCAGCTACTTGGGAGGCTGAAGCAAGAGAATCACTTAAACGCAAGAGTTTGAGGTTGCTGTGAGCTGTGACGCCACAGCACTCTACCAAGGGCAACATCATGAGACTCTGTCTCAAAAAAAAAAAAAATGAATATAAGGCATTAACTGAAGGCTCTACCACAGTGTTTATTAACCTTTTGGGAAAGCATTTTACCTCTGCTATGCTTCAGCTTTCTTTGTTTAAGAGGAAGCCCACATCTAGCTCCCAAAGCCATCCAGTTATTATTGAGACTTTTTTTTAGCGATCCAGCTAGTGATTCAAAAGTTTTGAGGTTTTTTTATTTTGAGACAGAGTCTCACTCTGTCGCCCTGGGTAGAGTGCTGTGGCATCTCAGTTCACAGCAACCTCCAACTCTTGGGCTTAAACAATTCTCTTGCCTCAACCTCCCAAGTAGCAGGGACCACAGGCGCCTGCCACAAGGCCTGGCTATTTTTTGATTGAAGTTGTCATTGTTGTTTGGCAGGCCTGGGCTGGATTAGAACCTGCCAGCTTCCGTGTATGTGGCTGGCGCCCTAGCTGCTGAGCCAGTTAATGAGGTTCTGAGCAAAGCTTCATCTTTTCTATCTCAATTCTCTCCATTTCTCCAGATCATATCCATTTGCATTTACAAAATTCCATAAAACCTAATTTTAAAAACCACCATAACTACTTCTAAGTTCTGAGAACTGCATCCTTCACCAAATCTGTTTCAGAATGTCTTCAACTTCAGCCCCCAAAACGGAAGCTCACCCTTGGTAATCCTAGCACTCTGAGAGGCCGAGGTTGCAGGATAGCTTGAGCTCAGGACTTCCAGACCAGGCTGAGCAAGAGGGAGACCCCATCTCTACTAAAAATAGAAAAACTGGATGGGTGGTGACGGGTACCTATAGTCCCAGCTACTCGGGCGGCTAAGGCAAGAGGATCACTTGAACCCAGGAGTTTGCGCTGTGGTTATGCCACTGCACTCTACACAGGACGACAGAGCAAGACAGGATTTAAAACAAACAAACAAACTACCCCCCCCACAAACAAACTACCAATCAAACAAAAAAGCTGATTCTAAGTTTCCGTGAAAAACCTCCTGTCACTCCTTTGGCTCGCATGTCCAAGGGAAAACTGTTTCTGACCTAATACATACTGTAGGGAAGGAAGTGCACTTAGACCAATGGAGAATCTGCATGCACCTACCACGCTGAAACTAGAGGCAGGAACTTTTCGTACAAAATACCCCATCCCGAGAAAACCTCTTCATCAACCTCTTCCTGACGCGCCCAATTTAGAAAAAGTCATGTCAACCCTTCAGATCATGCACTCGTTGCTTAGGTAAAAAGGAGACCGAAAGAGGTGGCTGAGCTCAGACGCATGCCTACATATTTCAGCGGTAACAACTCCCGATCTGCGTCCAACACAATCCACACACACTAAGAGAACTTCTAGTTAGGCGCTCACCACTAGAAGCGAAAGCAATTCTTTCCCAGGGTACAGAAGATCCTTTCCACTGAAAATTCCCAAATCCCCGATCTTCCACTTTTTACTGAACAAAAAGCGTGTGTGCAGGAGAGAGGGGGGTGGGAAAGAGCCTAGCAAGAATCTGCTCGGCTCCTACGCCTCCTCCCTCGGAGCGCGCCCAAGTCTGCGGCCTCGGGCTCCGGGACACTTCCCCTCCCACCCGCCGCGGAGCCGCAGCTGTAAGTTAAGAGAAGCGGGCTCTAGGCACGTCAATCAACCGCGCCCTCCCGCCTCCCGTCTGCACCTCCCCTCCCCTCCCCCCCCCAAAAAAAAATTAAGGCAGAAAAAGAAAGGGAAAAGAAGGTAACTAATTTGGGAACTAGTCGCCGCGGGGCTTCGCCTCAGACCTAGGGAGGCCCCACGCCCGGGACTGGCACGTCGGCATCAAGAGGCGGCCTGGCAGTCGCCGGTCGCCGAATCTTCACAGCGCGTCCGCAGCGCTCCAGCTCCCCGCACGGGTCGGCGCCGCTCTGGCCCCGCACTCCGCCAGGCCCGCGGCCCGTCACCCTCCGGCACGGACCAAAGTTGCGTAAATAGCCCCACAACTGGCAAATACTCACCGTTCGCAGCAGGAACCAGGGCTGCGGAGATTTTAGGGAGTTTAAGGCAAATCAACCGCGGGAAAGCGGGCGCAGTAGAAGGGGCTGCGAGCTGCAGTGGCGGCGGCGCGCGGTGCTCGGGCTGGGTTGCGCGGAGAGGCTCTGGCTCTGCCAGGGACTGTGCTGCAACAAAGGACTTCCGCTGCCGCACAGCCGCGCCTGCCGCACCGCACTGAGCCGGCCCCGCTTACGCGGCGACTCCGGGTCTGCCCACCAGTTCGCTGCGGCGTCCGCCAGCCTTCCCCTCCCTCTCGCCCGCCCACCCACTCCGTCGCTGGCTGCTAGGGGCACCCGCGGTCGCCTGTTTGTTGTAACAAGTTTCTGTGCCGGGCTCCGAGGAGGATGGCGCAACCCGTACCGCGGGGGCCGGCGCGGTGGCGGCTTGACCACCCCTTTCGCCCCTCTCCCAAGGGTAGGCTTGGGACCTCCTCCTCCTGTTTGCACAGCTGGATGGGACTGGACTCCTCCCGACTCCCCAAGGGCAGGATGCTGCTTTCCCACTCCGTCCAGATGTCAGACCCCTAACCCGTAGGGCCCTCCCTCGCGATATGTCCCGGCGTTCTGGGGCGCAGGCACCCTCGCAGTCCCTTTGGCTAAGGGTCGCCCATTCCTCCCGTTCCCCCCACCCTGCCTTCTGTAGGCCTGTCCGCCTTTGGCCCTGAGTCACTTCCCCCGCCATGCCCCACCTCGCCCAGGCCGCCTCCCCTCCCAGATTCCCGCGGCTTGGCCTCCCTGGCCCTGTGCCCTCACCCCTTCCCTGGCGAACACGCGGGCGCATCCTTTCCCACCCCCACCCCAGAACAGAGGAGGTGTCCGTGCTTTTGCACACCCGGAGGAAAGTCCCGGGGTCACGCGGTTGTGTGGGTAGCCTGTGACGCTCAGACTTATCCCCACGCTTCCGCCTACAGAGTCACGATTGGGGACTGTGGCGACAGCAGCGCTCGAAGCGCGGGCCGACCCCCGCCCGGCCACTGAGCCAGGCGGGCGGGCGCGCACGTACGCACGCAAGCACGCACACCCTCGGCCCCAACGCCCCTGGCTCCTTAGCTACCAGGCTCGCGGTCACGTGGGACTATAGCTGGGCGGCTGGCGGGGAAAGCCGCGCGAGAGCGGGCCGCGGGGTGAGTGAGCCCGAGCTGCCGCGAGCCGTGCGCGGCACGGGAGCCCGCCCCTCCTGCGCGGAGGAGCCGGCCGGCCGCCGCGGCGGCGTCTGGGTAAGCGACGCGGCCCATCCCCTGTGGGCTGCTCCGGGCTCAGTCCCTCCCGCCGCGAGCCGCCGAGGGCGGTGGCCTGCAGCTGCGCCGGTCGCGGGACAGATGCAAGTAGCTGGGGAGAGGGTGTGTTTTTGGTCTCTTTGAGATGTCAGGGCACAGGAGGAAAATGGCAACCGCGAGAGAGCGCTGAGCCGAGGATGCCCGGAGCAACCCTTTCGCTGCCCCCTGGGGCGGCCGTCGGGGCCTCACGCTGTCGGGGATGGCCCACGGCGGGCGCCATAAAGGCCTGGAGCCCTCTCCTGCAGACCTGGGTGCAACCCAGGGCAGGAGACCCTGACAGGACTGCGGCATTTCCCAGGCGGCGGAGCTGACCCCTCTTGCAAACGGGCAAGTCAACAGCTGTGAGAACGCTGCGGCCACTGTCCCCCCTTCCAGTTTGTAATACCCAGTTTTTAGGGCAGGAAACCACCCCCCCCCCGTTTTTTCTTTTTTTCCTCAGTTTTTTATCTCGTTCTAAACAAATGCAAGTTTTCTTGTTGAAGCTTACTTCGTGTTATTCCATAGCGCTTGTAATTTGGAGACCTCAAACTGTTATCAGTTACCTTGTGTGGGGCGCAGTACGTGGAACCTGCCAGCAGCCGACGTGTTTCATAAATTTATGCCTCTATCATTCCAAGGGATTAAATTTGGCATTATTTCTCCAGAGGCTCAAGTCTTTCTGATAGAGCTATTGATTCTCTCACAGGATTCTGTTAAGTGTGTAAAGTACACTTCGGAGTCTCAGATTTTACAGACGAGAGTCAGATGCCTTATAAAGAATCCATTTCATCCCTCCTTTTACATAGAAGACACCAGGCCTAACGCAGTCACATGTTGATTCCTCCAGATAACTAGACTCCAGGGCTCCATCCAGACACCTTGGACACTGCCCTTTCCACCATGCCAGGACTCCTTTGCCACCTTGACCCACTCACTGCAGAGAATGTATCCACCAGAGGTGATTACACTTGGCTTGATTTAGGTTATTGGGAAATCAGGCTTAGCCAGTGTGTGATGGCTCAGGAATAGTTGTGTTGGCACTATTTCTAAGTGGGATAGGCTGCCCATGATGGACTTTGGAGCTAAAAGCCCATCCCATCCCCTTGCCCCCCCCCCGCCAGTTTACTCCAATTCTCTACAAGGAAAACTGACATTTACAGCATCGATTCTTTACTAAGACATAAAAGTTCTCTTTAGCAATTTGGATATGTTTTAGTTAAGGGCAAACCATGAATCTGTTATCAGACATCAGCTGATGTCTTAATAGGGAACAGAAAAATGATGGGGTAGGACGTGAAATGAAATAGGTTGATTTTAATGGCTGGGAAGCAGGGAGGGACCCCACATAATCTAGTATGCTTTTTTTTTTTTTAAACCCAGTCCAACCCTGAATGTCTTATTTGGATGTAGTGGAGATGGATTCTACTCAAGTTGGTCACTGTTTGTTAAATACCTGACAAAGGCCAAGTCCCATACTAGCTGCATTTATAGATGAATTTTGAATTCTTACCCAAAAGGAGACAGTACTGTCTCCATGTCACATGCCTAAGGAAACAGGCTCAGAGTGATTTACCTGGCTATGGTGATGTAGTCGCTTGCAGGGAATTTTAAATCTAGATGGCTTATCTCTTAAGCCCAGTCAGTGCTCTTTTGCATTATATCTTGCACCCACTTCAGGAAGAGAAGGGGATGAGAGAATTGCCTGTGGCTGATTTATTGGCGCCTGTGGTTGCCCAGAGAGGCCAAGCAGGACTTTCAGCTGCCCTCTGTGCCTTAGAAAGTGGAGCTGTGTACTTCCACCCTATCTCCTGAGGGGAATGCAAGGAGCCAGGCAGTCTAGCTGGGGAGGAGGGGCCCAAAAGCTTTGGCCATAAAATATCTTGGCCAGGGTTGTGCTGGGAAGTGTTGCATAATGCTCTTCTCCACCACTGAACCAAAGTGATTTATTTACCATGGTCTGTAGGGGGGTGATTGACTAGCTTGTTCATTTCAGCAGTATTGGCCAGAAAAGTTAAGAGGTTTTATATCATTACAAATTTTTCCCTTGTTTTGAAAAAAAGCAGTGCAGGTGCTCTTATCTTGATGAATTACAAAGTACTTATACACCATTTCCTGTGCCCCCTTTCTGCTTTTTTATTCTAAATAGCATTTGAACTTCAGTCTTTGGATAGGAGAAAACTAAGAAAAATAGTGTACTGTAGCAGTTCATAGTTATCAACATTGGCTGTGGTGGTAGACCTGATCTCTGTTTGTCAGTTGTGTGCCCTAAGTCTAGGTAATTTTCCTCAGCTGTAAAATAGAAATGAAAATAATACATATTAGTCACAGTGAGGATTGAAAGAGGTAATGTATATAGAGCACATAGCACAAGGCCTTTCCTGTTGTATTTACCAATTATAATAATGGCTACTGGCTTGGTGCCTGTGGCTCAAGTGGCTAAGGCGCCAGCCACATACACCAAAGGTGGCAGGTTCAAATCCATCCTGGACCCGCCAAATAACAATGATGGCTGCAACCAAAAATAGCCAGGCATTGTGGCGGGCGTCTGTGGTCCCAGCTACTTGGGAGGCTGAGGCAGGAGACTCGCTTGAGTCCAGGAGTTGGAGGTTGCTGTGTGAGCTGTGAAGCCACGGCACTCTACCCAGGGGGATAGCTTGAGGCTCTGTCTCAAAATAATAATAATAATAATAAAATAACGACTGCTGAAAATAACCAGAACAGTATTGTTCTCCTAGGAGAGGAGGAATATTGCCTTTTTTTTTTTTTGAGACAGTTTCAAGCTGTCATCCTGCATAGATGCCATGGCATTGTAGCTCACAGCAACCTCAAACTCTTGGGCTCAAGCAATCCTCTTTCCTCAGTTTTTTATATTTTTTTGTAGAGACAGGAGTCTCTCTTTTTGCTCAGGGTGGTCTCGAACTCATGAGCTCAAGCTATCCACCTGCCTAGGCCTCCTACAGTGCTAGGATTACAGGCGTGAGCCACCACAGCTGGCTGGGATATTGCTTCCTGAACCTGCTTAAGGAGAGTGGAGGAGGAAGAAAGTGTTTGAAGCAAACATCAGTTTCAGGATTATTTATTAAATCTATTTACATTTCCGCTTTTCCTTTGCTATCAGGAATTTTTCTTTCCCATTTGGAGAAAAAGTGTTTTAGTTTTAAGTCAGTTATTTTTGGAATTTTTCTAATTCATTTCTTCCCTGATTACAAATCAGTCATACGTGTATGTTTTATTTCTTCTGAAAAACTATAGGCATTTTAGTCAAAGGGTTTCATGGCAAAGGAATTTACCTGTATTCAGAAGTTATAAGCACTCTTGTCATAAATCTGTACTAGCGTTATTTTCTGTCTTCTGTACTTTATTAACTTTTATGATACAAAGTCTCTGTCACCCAACCTCAAACTCCTGGGCCTGAGCAATCCTCTTGCCTCATCTTCCCAACTACTTGGGACTAGAGACATCTGTCACAACACCTGGCTAGTTTTTCTATTTTTAGTCTTGCTCTTGCTCAGGCTGGTCTCAAACTCCTGAAAAGCTCAAGCAGTCCACCTGCCTCAGCCTCCCCGAATGCTAGGATTATAGCCACTGCGCTAGACCTGTGCTTTAAATATTTTTCTTTCAGAGATATAGTCTTTATTTCTTTTTACTGGACTGAGAAAAATTCTTTCCTTTCCTTCACAGGGTTCTGATTTTTTCTTTTAAGGATTAACAGTTTGCTCCCAGTGTTGTGAGCATTCCTTGTTTGCCTGGCTTTATCAGGCATCCCACGATGTAATGTTTAGATAGGGGCTAGAGAAGCTTGGTTGTTGGTTGTGGCTGACAATAGGCAGGAGGTCCCCAGAATGTTTCTCTGTTCTGTTAAAGGTTTCTAGAGCATAACTGCTTTTCCTGTATCATTTTCCACTACTTCATTCTCTCTTCTCTTACAGTCTAAGTAGATTTTCATAGGCAGATATCTAGAATTTTTACCTCAAACAGTATTTTCAGTATTCGGAATTTCTATATCACTTTTGGATATTATGAAAGTAGGTATAATGGAGTAAGAAGGTAAATATTTCTTTTTCTTAAGTACTATTAAAAAGAAGTCTGAAAATGGTGTGTTCCTCCACCTTCCCACCTGTGCCTACTCTGCTA